ACAAAAGTGCGCCCTCTAGTCCCGTGATGCATAGTGGAATGGCTGCCATGTTCGTCCTTTCCGGTATTAAACCTTCAGAGCCAAAAGTGGGAAAGGATGGGAAGGAGCGGACTGTTTGGGGTAGGTATTCAATAGCAGACCTCACCCACATTTCTGTGGGGGAGGAGTCTTCTGCTTTCAACCTACCCAAACAGTTGTTAAATATGCAGAGTAGCACCGAGCCCTTGGATTGGGTACGGTGAGGACGCACTACATAATGAGAGTGCCAGAGGGGTATGAAATTGTCCAAGCTTTATTGCAGACTTGCCAAATCATGGAGTTATGTCATTCCAGTGGGGGGCCACTTTGATGAGGAACCCCTCTACATCAATGTGGCCAATGTTAGGACTGCTCTGCCATGTGCAGAGTCCTTTTGCAGAACATCGGTGAGGTAGCATGTGGTGAAAGTAGATGGGGTCTTCCAGCATGCTGCCTTGCATATTTCCTCTAATGGTACACCCCTGAAGTAGGCCCATGATGTGGAAACTGCTCAGATATCACGAGCCCTGATGAGGCATAGTGTTTTATTGTCCACAGAGTTCGGCCAATCTGGGTTGGAAAACTTGATGGCTGAAACTTCCCATCTAGCTATAGTGTCTTTGGTCGCAGCTCGGTGAGGTTTTATTGTGGTGATGAAAAGCTGCAAAGTTGAACCTCTGAGTTTTTTGGTTTTTGCTTAGTACCTTTTAAGAGTCCGCACTGTGCACTATAGTGCACTATTGTGCAATATGTGCACTATTGGTTTTTGCTAAGTACCATTTAAGAGTCTGCACTGTGCACTATGGCCTGCCGACGGGTCTGAGATCAGCAGGTGGAGGCAAATCTGAATAGCCAGCAATGCCTACCCCCAGGAGGTCAGGGGTAGTGCGGCTCAGTAGTTCTTCCTTTAAAGCTCCTCTGGGGTGGCTTAGTAGGCCGAGAGGAGGATGGAGGGCCGCAATTTGTCTGGTAACTGGGTGGACGAAAGGAACCATAACGTGACATGGGGGTCTAAAGGGTCAAGCCCGGCGATCATCGCGACGCGATTAGCGAGGTGGAGCCACCAGTGGAAGGTCACGGAAGCTAAGTTTACGTGTTGTGTCAATACCTTTAACTTCAGACTTCATCATCTTCATGAACTTCCCCGCGAAAAGGTCTTAGCCGTGAAGAGGAAGTTCCTGAAGTCTTGACTCCCTCATAGGGAATTCTCATGGCGTCTTAAGAGTTGGATCTGCGTGCAGAAGTGACCCAAACAGAGATCCAAACGAACTGCTCGAAGATAGAGTTGACATTCTCATCGAGTGCTCAATGTGGAACAGCTGCCAGGTCTGGAGTACCTGGAGAATCTTCGTCACACGCTCGGGCCAAATACTCACAAAGGAGTGCCATAAACCCGGTGCAGTGAAGGCAATGTCATGAGGCTTTGTCGAGTTTAGCAAGAGTAGACTCAACGAAACATTTGTCCTTGTCTTTAAATGGAGACTTTCCTGTAGGCTTGTGAGCATTAGAGGAAAGTTTATCTTTAGCCCACGTTGGAATCTCAGGGACAGAGAGGAAGTTATCAAAGTCCTCCCTAGCAAACTGGAAATAAGTCAAGGCCCTGGGCGGGTATGGACGCCATTGTTTGGCACTGGCGAGAACTTTAAACAACTCGACACATGAGTGGTCAAGTGGTAACTTGGAAAAATCAGCATTGATGCCTCCAATCTAGCGGGGTGGCGCTTGAATGAAGCATGTGAAGAGGCCTCAGCTGTAGATTGATCAGAAGGCAGGCCTAATATGTGGATCATATCCTGAAGAAGACGGAGCCGTGACTCAGGAGGGTTAAGGTTGGCTGCAGAGGAGATATCCTCATCTTCAGAGGACGTATCCCGCTCCATCCACAGTTGATCCAAGGAAGGAGGAACATTATCATGTCTTGTTGGGTGGCCAGAGGCCGGAGCAGGAGGTGAGTTGTAGGGTCTGCACCGGAACCTGGATAAGTCGAAGGGGCGAAACCATCATATGAAGATCAGATCGCCGATGAATGCAGGTTCAGATGCAGATGCGGATCCGGATGTGGATGCGGACGTGGATGCGGATCCGGATCCTATTGCACCAGTAAAGGGTCCGTATCTGGGGCCGTCGCCTCGGGAGCAGAGTTGGCTCTAGACGGCTGGCTATAGAAGAGAGCTCTTCTAAGAGCACGTGGACCACTGGCATCATGTCAGCTGATGATGTGTCCTCCTTCTGTAAGGAGTTCGACTTCTTACGCTTAGACCCTGTAGAAGGAGACGAAGAATGTTTGTGTTTCTTGCATTCGGGAGAACTGGTTGTAAAGCCAGCAGTTCCATGGAGCATCAGCGTCTTTGTCACGGCCAGGTGCCCTGGTTGAAAGGGTGTCTGAAGACAATGGTGTAGCTAGCATTGGCTGCACTATCGTTGACTGCGATGCTCCGGTGTTACGTTGGGGAACTGAGCATACAGATATCGCACGCACTGCAGCTCAGGCCCAGGTGCACTACGGTTGATCAGAAGTTTTAGCGAATTGAATCAGACGCAAAGGAATTTGCACATTTAGCAACTGTTTGGGGTAGGTTGAAAGCACAAGACATATCAAGTTTAAATTTGATACGAAAATAACAATTTCCCTAGTGATTATTTTGGAGCAAAATAAATGTCACTTTTGGGTTGTGTTTCTTTGAGGACAAACTTGTATTACAGTATTAAACAATTATACTTGAGAGCCGTGGCCTTTGCCTTAGCCATGTGGTTCACAGCCTTGTTCTTGAGGATCAAAGCCTTTGCTTCAACACTGGTGTACACCTACATATCAGTTATCTGACTGGTTAGGGAAGCAATCTGCACACAAGGCATTTTACAGTGTAACTGCAGAAGTTTTTCAGCACTGGTCCTGATAAGGGCACCCTTTTAAATTTTATGGTTCTCATTTCCAAACAACCCTTTTTTGTCGCTTGACCTTAGAAAAAGCCTTTTTTTCCTACTGACCCTGCTATTGAGGATCTTGCCTGTTAACTAAAAGTAAGATGTGATGACCTGTACAAAAATGGTGCTGAATATGTACGTGAGTAACCCAAGGCTTGCTTCCAAATAACAGGAACCATAAACCAACTTTTAGATCAACTCCTTTTAGAATAGAAGTGATAACTCCAGTCAAAATTCATGTGTATTATCCTTCACTGTGCTTTATTGAAGGGGTGAAAACAAATCAAGAAAATCAAGAGGGGTAAAATTTACTGATACAGAACAATCAATTCAAGTACTATGACCACTATTACAATGTCGGCACATTTGAGAGATTAAAGAATACAGATAAACCCAGATAAACTCCCACTTGGAAAACAAGACAAACGAGTACGTCAGGGACAAAGTCAAGAGCCTGGTGGGCCCCCAGGAACTACTCCTTGCCACTGTGAAGCAAGGGAAACTTCTCTCATACAGTCACATCACACTAAATGACAGCCTCTGCAAAACCATCATGCAAGGCACCGTTGAGGGCAACGGAAGAGCTGGTCAGACACCATCAAGGAACGGACCAATATATATGCCTCTACAGGATACCTTGACCCAGGCTGCTGACAGACCAGTGTGGAGAAAAACTTTAGTATCTTCTGCCCTCAAGTCCCCAAACTACGTAAGAGTCATGGGAGGGAGGTAGGGAGGGAGGGAGGGATGAAGGAATGAATGAATGAATACCTTTCAACCATCGAAAACAATCAATTGGATCCATCAAAAATGTAAAATGAGTACAATATGTTGCGAATTATACATTGTGACCATTCCAGAATTTCGACAAAAAATGCATGACTTTCAAGAATGCGGAAAATGCTGTCACAAGTAGTGCTTGAAAATTCCATGCACGATGTTCATTTTGCCGCTTATTTTGGAGATATCTCCATTGAAAATTAAAGTTAACAACTCTGAGCATTAGATTTTCATCATGAATCATAGTTTATGTCTAAGATGTCATTTTTTTGTTAATGTCATTCAGTATGACAGATTTTCTTTTGAGAAACCTTAGTGCAAAGAGGAAAATCCTAGAGCGTCGCCATTGCATGGAGGGGCTCATGAACATCAATTGAAAAAGAGAGCACACTATCTGGGTTGATGTCAAAGGTCAAACAGCCCACGCTGCAGCAAAACCTTTCCCCAACATCATTATGAGATGCTGATGGAAGCCGAAAAATTGACACGATCAGTATCTTGGACTGCAGTTGTGATTGGTCCAGCCATAAAAGAATGATGGTTTGGGGTAGCTTTTTCACACTTTTTCTAAAGCTTGTGTTGTACATCGATTTTGATTTTACTTGCTGTTTTTTTGCAGTCAAGTTTTTTGACAGAAACGAATGACGTTTGCAACTTCCAACTTCAGGGCCCAATTATTTGTGAGAGGTATTTTTTAATTTCACGATTATAGTTTTAAAATGTGTAAACATTATCAACTCTAACCACATATGAATCTGTGTAAAATAACCACAGGGATTATCACACCTTGGTAACTTTTATTGGCGAGGATTTCAACAGGTTGTTCCCATCCTTCAAAAATGCTGATGTTTGATACTTTAATTAATCAACTCCGATTAAGTTGAAAAATGGGCATGGTCATCATTGTTTCAGGTGTCAGCCATGACTTCCCTCATTTCATCAGACATTGGAAATTAATTCACAGCTGATCACTTCAGGTAAAATGAACACCCCAAGTTGCAGATTATCTAATGGTACAAATTTTCAGGAACCTGCCATATCCTACTTAATGTGACACAAATGATTCTATTGTTGTTCTTATGAAATCAAATTTTGTGTGAAAAATGTAAATAATAAAAATAATTAAAATATACTTGTTAGGACACAGTAAATTGAGACTGAGATAAATTTACTTATGCTTAACCCTAACACTCCTCAATCCTTCACCTGTTGGAGGACTGAGGACTGATAGGGTTAAGGGCTTTGTTCTTCATATGATGGAGGCCTCAACAGCTGTCTTGTTTGTCATATATTTTTCTCTTTATTTTAATACCGGTATTTAAACTATTCATATAACCTTTTGTTACACATTTCATTCTCTTGTTTTATTTAAAAATTGTTATGACACTACATTTGCAACCAGTTTCGGTAGTTTCATTCAAGTAGGCCTATTGCTTTGTGTACTGATAAAACATTTCTTTGTACTCAGCTCGAAACAAAGGCATTCACGGTACTCATTATAAAAACAAGTGACAAGTATACATAGTGGAATTTTTTTTTAGGAATTTCATTTTTTTTCTGACTGACCGACCCTCCCTTAAGTAAAAAAGATATGAGAATGATACAATACAAATAGGGTGCTCTAATCAGGATCTGTGAAATTATTTAAGCTCTACAGAAATTTCTGCAACCACCGACAGCCTGCTGACCGACCACAATCACATTGTAACACACAGGAATGTCACTCTCTTGGGCATTTTAAAATGATTTGTCTTAATTTCATAATTCTTCTACTCAGCTGTGGTAGTTTTACCCAAAATATAAATGAATAAAATAAAAAGTCAAGTGGAAACATGGCTTATAATTACCAAGCAAAAACTGTTAAATAAAACTGAAACAATGAAAGTTTTAATGAAGAATTCTTTATGTTCATTCTCCCTTTTTGAACATGCATGTACAGTCCATTTCATGATTTAGGTTACATATTAAGCGGCTCAAAATACTTGATTGTCGAGCCGCTCGATGCTGACTGAGTCCATACTCAATGTGTGCTCGAATCTCACTCAATGTGTGCTCCAATCCCGCTTGATCTCTGCTCGATCACTGCCTGGTCCCTGCTTGATCCAAGCTTGATCTCTGCTTGATGCGCTGTCACTGGTTGCTTGAAAAATCCACTTGATTCATGCTTGATGCGGACTTCAGACAGGAGTCTGTATGCTGCCCCCGCCGTGGCCAGCCGGCCAGCCATGTGTACAAGTTACGAAGCGCAGCGCTAAAGGCGAGAGGACAAGGTAGTCATGTTTCTGTTGATTCCATTTACATTGTCTTTACTCACATGTTGGAAATGAAGGAAACCTGTCCAGAATGACCGAATAGACTTGTAAATTTACCATACATGTACATGTAAGTACCATTTACACCTCACAAATTGCGTGGTGCATCTGTTCGTTTTTGTCTTTTGCAGTTTTACCGTCCATGGTTGAATCTGTAACAGATGCCAAGATGCCTGAGTGAATGATTTGAACTTCAAGGATGCTTCTGATGATTGCAAGGAAAGGATTCAAGCCTAGTAGATAGCATGAAATACTCCGTGATAAGTGACATTTTTATCAGGCAGAAAATTTTTTATTGTTTGTAAAGTTATGGATAATTAATGTTTGACAAAAAATAGTAAACATTTATATGTAAAATTCCCAACACATATGCTGCCTAGTTATTTTGCATGCATTGGCCTTCCTCAAGTGAGACCTTAAACTGAAAAAACGACAGTGTTTCAAAAGACAATTTGTCAGCAGCATTAACCTAGAACCCTCTGAATTTCAATTCATGTAACAAAACTCAGATAAAGTGTCTCTAATTTTCTTTATGAAAATTTTTATGGCTATGGTTTTAGAATGCAACTGAAATTTGAATGGGAAGTTCAAATTGAGTACTTCAATTCATAAAGCCTCCAAATAAACAAAATATTTCCTTATCACAAAACAGGCAAAACATACATGAATATACCTATTCTATAACGCACAGGTACATTAAGTCCCTCTTAAACTACATGTGAACTTGACCTTCTGAACCCAAAATAGGCAAACGAAATTGGCCAAAACTTCCCCAGCAAAAAATATTAGCTTGTTAGTGACAACATTGTACAATTACATCAACTCTTTGACAAGAAGTCTCAAAAAAAAAAAATCTCTGAAGTGCATGTCACATTGGGCCATGCATGCACTGTGTGTTAATTTTAAATTGCGGCTTTTTTATTCTCGCCCATTACAACTTAAATTTTTTATCCCACCAAAAGACTTCCCAAAACAGCTCAGTGTTTGTCCCCCAACAAACAACGTTGTCTCGTCTTTGTTTTCTCAATTGCATGTTTACTTTCCATACTTCATGTTTTTCCTAGACAAGTCTGCAAGTCAAGTCATTTTTTAAAAAGTTTTGTGTAAGAGGCATTACCGCGCTGTAAGATGCTTAGACAAAACCTTTTGAAAGCAGTCTAGGCAACAATTGGCGCATGCATATTTATCTTGGCAAAAAGATGTTTCATTTCAGAAACTGTGATTTAGAAGTAAGACATTCTGTGGATACAATGACCTTGTGTCACGCTGACTTTCTCATCATATGCAGATATAGTATATGTACATGTATGTCTGCAACTAACTCTGCACAGTATTTTACTCATCGTGTAAGACAAAATAATTTCAGACGGTAACAAACATGAATCATTCAATGATATTTTTTGTCCATGTGCATGTAGCCAAGGTGCTACATGAATGACCTGCAGATATAATATTTTAACGAAATGGCTGTAACAAGTTTAGGTTTTAGTGAAAAGATGACATCATTCTTATCTTTGTATAGGCGCAGAGAATGTGCGACACCATTGTATTGGTACCAGTGTACATTAGCATTAATATGTAAAAGTACAGGTTTAAGGCAGCACGGGACTGGTGCAAATTTATGTTTGGTCTCATTTGTGCCATGCCGCGCACACTGTTGGCAGTTTCACAGAAGTCTCGAGCGAGTGGACAGCGCTGTGTGTGACCGCTCGTTTTGTGTGTGCTACCGCTGAGAGTCTACTAGCAATTCGAGTACTGGTTCTGCAATCTAAGCAATTAGTAAGTAACCGTAAGGTATCCGCAGTAGTTGACTCATTGTGTACTGCTCTCAGTGTCGGTCAGAAAGGACCGTGGGTATAACAATACTGTGTGGGTAGAGTTGTGGGCAGAGTTGTCGAGGGTTGTCCGAAGGTCACCATCTAGAAAAGTGGTGAAAGATTGGACAGCCAGAGTGGTGGCAGACGCCTTGAGTTACCAGTTAGTTTGGGTTAGTGAATTGGCACCAGTAGTTTGCCGATATCTTGGGTGCAGTCACCTGAGTGAGGAGTGTGGATTGCGGATACAGGTTAGAGATTACAGAGTGCGGATTGAGGAGTGCGGATTATTGGCGGCACTTTGCGGATTGCAGATTATTTAAGTGTTCTTTTGTAGTTGTATTTTGTATTATTCTTTTGAAACTCTTGTATAAAATAAGTAACTCCAATTGTGTAAATATAGTGATTATATAAGATAAAGAAAAGTATATTAAATAAGTCCAGTTGATCTTGCCGGTTAATATCTTGTTTACGCATATGCTCACTGTTGTGTCAGTCGACCGCATCGCCAAATTAATTACCGATCGGTAGTATATTTCCGCCAAAATGACCCCTAATCCGGGGCATAGTGGCCTAGCCAATGATTTAAAAAAATGAGTTGAGAAAGGCTCAACTCAAGGACACGACCATGAGTTGGGTTGTGCGAGAGAAGGAGAGGGGCAAGGGCTGCCCTGCTTGAGAAGATGTATCTCCCATGTCTCCTGAGTTTAACCCTTACTGGTCGAATTGCGACCAGTTAGAAGTCAGAGAAGGGGTGCTGTGCAATAAATTGGAGTCAAATGACGGCAAATCGATCAGATGGCTATTGGTTTTGACGAAGGAGCTTAGGAAAGAAATCCTAAAAGAGGTACATGGTGGACAAGTGAGTGGCCACCTGGGAATGAGTAAGACCCTGGCCAAGATGAAGTACAGATATTTCTGGGCTGGGATGTCTGCAGATGTCAGATCATTTCTGCGGAGTTGTGAGACCTGTGCAAGAAAAAAGGCACCCGCTAAAAAGTGAAGGGCCCCACTTCAACAATACCAAGTGGGTGCACCTCTAGAAAGGGTGGCCATTGACTTGCTCGGGCCACTGCCCAAGATGGATGTCACAAGTCCTCCTAAAAGGCCTTGGAAATGGTACCTTTGAACCAAAACTCTGAAATGAACGACTCAGAGAAAATATAGGACCAAACACGATGAAATATAGTTCAACACATTTAATACATGAATCCCCTTTAAATACAACTAATTACACAATTCATCTTAAATACATTCAAAGCAAACCTCGAGGAGAATGGATCAAAATTAGATACTGATGGGAACTTGTGGTCTTTGGTCCGGATCTCAGTTAGAGGCGGGTCCCGCTGTCGTCCCCGGGGTTAGGTGTCATCCTGGCACGGCACATCAGTGGGGGAACATCTACCTGTCAACCAAGACCCCAGTCCAAGATAAAAAGCCCTATTTGTAATACAAAATCCATTTCGATTAAATACAGTTGACTACTTTCAAACGATTTCTGACCAATCACTTTCACTACATTTCCACGTTTCGGATTATCGCTTGAATAATTTATCACAGCGTGTATTTCATAAAGATCTCCTAAAACATTACGTTTTGTTTGCTTTTAATCAAACAGTTGCTTGAACATACTTTATTTCATCATGGTCCTGTGAACTACAACGTTCTTTCCAATAATAGATCAACAACACTTCACAGAATTTGGTTGCAGTTTTTATACAAAAGAAAATACTTACAGGCTATAACAGGTAACCTGGCATGGCTGTCAGATGTGGGCGACGAGGTGACAAGACTTCTAGACTGCTGGCATTTTCACTGGCATCTTGGTGCTCTCAAGCTCCCCAATACGACGCAGTACTTACGAAAACGAACCCAATCCCCGACCAAACGCATCGGTCCAACCTGGAGGATGAACGGGTTAGACGGGCCTTTAATGCCCCAACGTAGTGCCAGCAGTCAATCTCGTCACCAAGTGCCGAGCCGACGCCCTTCCCAAGGTTTTTATATGAAAACACCATGCGTTGTCCCAAATTCCTTCAAACCATACCAACTAAACTGGAATGGTCGCGGCCAATGAACATTCTTTTCTTATTGTCCGACTATTGACTACTGACCCGAGTCCAGTCCGGCATTTCGTCCGCCAGTGAATACCTTTAATCATTCAGTTCAATTGAACCACAACGTTCTGGAATTTAGCACAATTTTAAGTTAATAAAACACGGCACATTTCTATAATAAAACAAAAATCTCTTAAATGAAATCAAACTGTGACAATGGACAGTGGCAACCAGTGGGTATGGAGGCATACCCTCTCCCAGATTCCACTGCCCCGACTGTAGCACTAAAGTTAGTGCAAGAGTTTGCATGCCGGTTTTGGGTGCCACAAGAACTGCACTCCGACCAGGGCACGAATTTTGAATCGCATGTTTTTAGTGAGATGTGCCAAATACTTGGTGTGTCAAAAACAAGAACTACGGCCTATAATCCCAAATCAGATGGGACGGTCGATAGGTTTAATAAGACCTTAGTGAACATTGTGGCAGTCCTCATCGATCCGAAGAGAAGGCAAAGAGACTGGGATAAGATGCTCCCATATGCCACCTTCGCATATCGGTGTACACCACAAGAGTCAACAGGGGAAACCCCCAACATGATGATGCTGGGGAGGGAGATCAATATACCGGTGGATCTGACCACTGGGTGTCCAGATACAGAAAGTGACACCGAGGCAGAGTTCGCAGAAGAACTGCGAAACAACATCCACAGAGTGCATGAGAGAGCAAGACAGTGCCTAGGCAAGAGTGCTCGCAGGCAAAAAAGAAATTATGACCAAAAGGTGACAGAGGCAAGCCTAAAAGAAGGGCAGCTAGTGTGGCTACATAATCCTGCCAAAAAGAAGAACATGTCCCCCATGCTTCAACTGCATTGGGAGGGACCCCGGCAAATAATCAAGAAATTGTGGTAGTCTACATCAAGTTGAGGCGGGGTGATAAACACCGTGTAGTACATGTAGCCAGGTTAAAGCCTTATGTAGGCAAGGTAGACCCAGGGAGGGTAGTGGAAAACCCTCAAACAGGGGAGTCAGAAATCTCACAGAGTGAGACAGTGCTTCAAGATGAAGAAAAGAGAAATAACGAAGAGGCGGGCACAGGAAGCCAGGAAGATAGTCCTGAAGTCCAGAGTCAAAGTGAGACTAGCCATGTGGTCCAAAGCCCACAAAGACATTCTCCTAAAAGGATGCATAGACTGCCCCTGTGTTACCATTAGTCAAGCAAAATGGATGACAGAGGAACCTGAGGGCCCCTCCATCCAAGATCAAGAAGATGGCCACTGTCAACATGTACACCCTGACCGAAGTCTTCGTGGATGTGAAGCGTGTTCGCCAGACGAAGCGCCGGGAGACCTACTTGAAGGCCATCAAAGTCGACGCAGAGCTCTGCTAGGGAACAATGGAGTTGACCCTAGCCCTTCCCTTGTAGTGCGGTGACAGCCAGAGCCAGGATGAGCTTCGTTAGAGTCAGTTTTGTAGATTAGCTTTTCTTAGTCATTGACAAAGAATTTATGACATGTTTAACCTTTATCATGTTATAACTTATTTTTCTAGTCTTTTCACAGGTGCAAACATTTTGTATTTTGTATAAAAAAAAAAATCAGCAGATCTAATCGACAGTTGAAACGGGCCTGAAGAGTTTAAGGGAAAGAGAAGACAAAGGTGTATCTGTTTATTTTTTGTATTTCTCAAGGCATGTTTTTCAGGTTTGAGATACTTTTTGGGAAGAAAGAAAACTGTGTGCTTTTCACTATGTTTCAGGGTTTATATGAAGTTCTGTATAAAATTTCATATTCTGTATAAGTGACGGTAAATTTTAGCATTTTTTAATTGTGCAAAGTTCGGATTATTATGTATAAGTTTTTTCCACAACCATTTGACAGTTCCAACTTTGTGGGAGGTTTTTGATCCTCTCATTTGTTTTGCTTAAGTACTCAGCGTATTTTCATGAACTGGTATAAACTTTGGTTATGCTGTATAATTCTTGTGAATTTGAGGATTGAGTTGTATTAGTCGCTCATTTCATTGAATTTTATGTAACTGATATGAATTGGGGGCAATTCAAGCTACACTCGGGCCTTTGTGACGAAATGGCTGTAACAAGTTTACGTTTTAGTTGAAAGATGACATCATTCTTATCTTTGTATAGGAGCAGAGAATGCGCGACACCATTGTATTGGTAACCGTGCACATTAGCATTAATCTGTGCGCAATTTCCCATGTAAATGCACATGTTTAAGGCAGCACGGAACTGGCACAAATTTATGTTTGGTCTCGTTAAAGCCATGCCGCGCACGGTGTAGGCAGTTTTGCAGAAGTCTCGAGGCAGTCTAGAGGTCTGGTTCAGCGAGTGGACAGCCCTGTGTGTGACCGCTCCTTTTTTTGTGAGCTTACACTGAGAGTGTGCTAGCAATTCAGGTACTGGTTCTGCAATCTAAGCAATTAGTAAGTAACCGTAAGGTATCCGCAGTAGTTGACTCATTGTGTACTGCTCTCAGTGTCGGTCAGAAAGGACCGTGGGTATATCAATACTGTGTGGGTAGAGTTGTGGGCAGAGTTGTCGAGGGTTGTCCGAAGGTCACCGTCTAGAAAAGTGGTGAAAGATTGGACAGTCAGAGTGGCAGCAGACACCCTGAGTTACCAGTTAGTTTGCGTTAGTGAATTGGCACCAGTAGTCCGCCGATATCTTGGGTGCAGTCACCTGAGTGAGGAGTGCGGATACAGGTTAGAGATTGCAGAGTACGGATTATTATCGGCACTTTGCGGAGTGCGGATTATTTAAGTGTTCTTTTGTAGTTGTATTTTGTGTTTTTCTTTCGTAACTCTTGTATAAAATAAGTAACTCCAATTGTGTAAATATTGTGATTATATACGATAAAGAAAAAAGAAAAGTCCAGTTGATCTTGCCAGTAATATCTTTTTTACACATATGCTCACTGTTGTGTCAGTCGACTGGATCACCAAGTCAATTACCGATCGGTGGTACATGTATATTCCTGCCAAAATGACCTCTTACCCCTGGACATTAGATTGCTCATTAAACTCAAGGGCCAAGGCAGATAGTTTAGGTTTAGGTCAGGTGACTTTTCCCACAGGAAACAGTTCGTCCAGACTGGCGAGCCCTAGGCTGGCTTGTGGCAATAAAACACCACAATATGTACATTTTTCATATCAAAATGAATAAAAACTACGCCCAGAAATAGCGTAAGGTCAGTTTTGACACTAATTTGTGGCTCATCACTGCAAGTGAGATCATTATCTTTGGCGCAACTTACACCATTCCACTGATTTGGGAAAAGTAACTTATGCCAACTTGCACCTCAGGGATTTTTTCCTATCATATTAACTACCATTTGGCACCTTGTCTGAACTTACCCTACATGTATGTGCAAACACCAAGCATTCTGAAAGGCACTCATTAAACTTTGACAAAAGCAGAAACGGACATTGGCGCATTTACAGTCATGCTCAATGGCTGCTCAATTTCTCACACTCGAAGACCATTCCATCTTTCCACTCAATGCATGCTTGATCTCTTCTCGATATGTTCTCGGTCTCCCCTCGAAGCGTGCTTGGTCTCCACTCGAATCGCACTCAATCTCCACTCAATGTACGCACAATACACACTCGATCCCCGCTCAATGTGCACTCAATTCCGTCGGCATTGAGCGGCTCAATAATTGAGCCTTTCGAACCAATCGATATGTAACCTAAAATATGAAATGGATTGTACAGATATTTTCGTGATTTTACTTCTAGGTTGAAATGTGCACATTTTACAGTAAGTCATTGAGCAAAGTGCAGTTTTCTCAGACTGTAGCTGCTGCACACACACACCATTCCTTACATTTGTATTTTTGTGAGATATTTCCTTTATTCTCGTGTACTAAAAATTAGTGTGTGAAAGGCAGTTTCCAAATCACTTCCACTTAAACCAGGCTGTCTTTCCTGGGTTGACATTTTGACCAAATGTCCCCTATGTGAAATGATTTATTTTGTGACGAATAAGTATACTGTGGAAATTCCCTTATGAGTAAATTCCAAACATTTATTATGTGAAATTCTTGTGGGGTTACCATCTATGCACCCAAAAAGTACAACAAATGTTCCATGTGGGGTAATTCCTATTGTTCTGGTACCACACATGGCACCCTGGCTGGTCCACTTCTGTCCATGCACAGTGATATGGAACAAGTACTGACCATGCTAGTCATTTTAAAGGCCTGGGATGCATGCTAGCACTCCCAAGCTAGCCTATGATCATGTCAAATGCCAGATATTACAGGAACATGAGCTGGTGCTACAACTGTTGTTGTAATGTAAAGGGGAAAAATGACAACAGTTTACAGTGGCAAAGACAATACAGAAGCGTATATAGGACATGCCTGAAAAAAGAAATTGGGCCTGCTATTTTGCCCGGGGCAAAATAGTGATCCACCTAGGGAGTGGTGTAGATTTGTGTGTCACAATGCGGGATGATTTCCTTTTCGGGGAGGGGGGTTGACTCAGATAGACTGTTCCGACATTTTTGCGCGCCATTGTGGCAAAGATGCAAAGTGACTCATGAAGTGCGCTCTTACTCCTGCATTTAGCAAAGGCAGAGATATTCTCCTAATTAATCACCTTTCCTCCACAGATTAAGTTAATGGGAATGTCAATAGAACTGATTGAAAATTACACTTATGAATTTATCAAACATTTTATCCATAAAACCTGAAGCACCTTAAATTGATAGTACTTATATTCAAAGGGACAGCATTGGTGGCATCACTAAATTTATATAAATCAAATTTCTGGACTTTCAGGATCTGTTTTAATACTTATGGTAATTTTAATGCAGTAATTGGTAACTTACATGGCAATTAAATATAAATTGGTGCTTTTGTTCTTTGTTCATTTGTAATTAACTTGTTTTAGTTTGTGGAGTCCCCAGGAAAATAACAATGTTTGGGGCTATCCCGGATTGAATCAACCCAATTGGTTTAATGATTAGGTTTTCCTTCTACGTGTGTGTGTCCATTTCTTCTGAGTAAAATCAGCATTATTTTGGGCGGCCATGGCAGAACAAATCTATTTCTTGGATATCAAGTTTTTGTTGGTTTGGAACAAGCTACATGCATATTGTTTAGGAGTCGGCCTTTTGATCCCCCTTAAAAAGAGGGACTTACTCGTGACAGACAGAAAGTTTCAAATCAAGACATCCCCTGCAAAAAGTGAGTGACTATGTACTTGTACACCCAGTCTCCTGGTATACTAATCAGCTCCAGGCAAAGTAAGTAATCCGCCCGGGCAAAATAAGTAATCCGCCTGGGCCAAATAGTAATCTGCCCGGGCGAAATAGTAATCCATCCGGGCAAAATAGAAGGCAGAAAAATTTTTTTCAATCATGTCCTATGTACGCTTCCGTAGGACAACTCTGAAGAATATTTATTTAAACAAATAAAATTATGTTTGTCCTACCATTAAATGGCATCTTGAGCTCTTGCTTTCCTTTCTTAGCTGCTTGAGCTCCGCAACAAGTTGTTGATTTTTCTGCTGCAACAGCCTGGTCTTTTCTCGCTGTTTTCTGAAGACATGCTCGTAAGTTATTTTGAGAGCCACAAAACCCTCAATTGGTCTGTCAGTGCTGTTATGTGCAGCTCCTTGTCCATCAAAGAACTGGAAGTGAGGTAGTGTCTCACCACCATCAGTGATACTTTTTGGCTGCTCATCATCAGAAAGAATAGCTATGTCCACATCTTGAGACTCCTCACATTTGTCCATTGTCATCCACTGGTCTTAACAAAAGTCACAAGGAAAGCGGAGGTACGCAGTACATTTCAAGCTGGAAATTCAAATACAAATTGGAATAACCTTTCATACAAGTGCTTATTTTTGTGCACGTACGTTCTGTGAACAAACAGACAAAAACTGTAAATTTTTTTTAATAGTTTAAAGTGCTTGTTGATAAAGTTCTTCTTGTGCAACTTTTCTTTTAGGATGGTCTCAACATTAAACAGGGAGTAAGAAAAACTGGCACACTCAATGTGGCTAATAGCCATTACCACAGAAGTGGACACCAGTACATGTATGTGCAACGAGGTTAAACAGCATAGTAGGCCTAAAAAGTAATGGAACCATCAATTGTAGGCCCTGAGCCCAAGGGGGCTATCATTTCACAGTGCTACAGCCAAAGGGGTGAAGGATTTTAATATATTTGTTTAAGTATTCTTGCTGAATAAATGTTCTACCAAAAAAAAATGTTTGCTGATTAAAGCAGGGCAGTTTTTATCAAAATAATTCCGGCCAATGGGAGTGCATCTTCCGTGCCATATTATAATGCAATCAACATGGCAGCACCAGCGCACCAGGTGACCGAAATTGTGCTTGTCATTGCATTATCAAGGAAAAAGGGCCAATATATCTCTTCAGCAATGTTTCATTGGCGAAATATTAAAAATATGCCGACATATGGAAGGAGTTTGATGACTTGCAGAGGGAAATTGCAAAACGGATATGGATATGGATACCATCGTCGATTCTACCAGCGTTTTTCTGAAAAGAGAGGAATTGGTATATGTACATGTAGGTGTGAGTTACTGCTTTATAACCATGTTAAACTGTAGGTACATGTATGCTGCAGGCAACTAAGGGAGTTGGAATGTACAGTACATGTAAAGCTGTAAAGTTTACTTATGTGAGCGAAAAGTGAAATCTCTCTTCACATTTCGAGATAAGCTGACATTGACTGAACGCTGAGGGTTCGATTCGGGTATGCCCAATGGTAGCAGATCGTGACCGAATCATGGATGAGTGAATTACATGTACATGTAACATTAACTCCCTAGGGTGGGGAGGCTCATACATTTTTAGACAATTTTTTCTGCTTTCTTTTTTAAGTGATCTTGGAGAGGGAGTCATACGAAATATTTTGATAAGTTTGCATCATCGGACTCTGCAACCAAAGAAATATTGATTTGAAGCAGGGATGTTTTGAGATGTTTTGGGATATTTTGTACACCTGTAATGCTGAGGAAATTGTGATTATTTTGTACACAAAATGACTGTGGATTTGGAATGACCAGCTTAAATTCATATTTTCTGAAAGTTTTTGTTCTTATTCGTGCCTTATTTCAATAAATCAAATATGAGGACTGTTATGGTCCATGGACGACTTTCCTATGAATTTCTCCAGGACCCCACTATCACCTGTATCCAAATGTTAAAAAAGGCAATTTTGGGGACCTAGTTATTTAGACTATAGTTTTGTTGGGTTATGTTGAGTGCAATCAGTCGATCTTCAATCTTGTTGTATAATTTGCCAATATTTCACCATCAGCAGAGTGTAAAGCAGCATTATTTCCAGACCAACTATAGTTGAGACTGGCCTAAATATAGATCGCACTGTGGACACAGTTGGGGCGTAGCACCCGTCCACCTCAAAATTTTAGAACCCTATACTTATGACTATCTTGAGAGCTTCGTTGACCTCCTGCACTTGCCAAAGACCAGCCAAGCAGCAATAAACTTGATGGACTACTGGAAAAACACACCTTGCCATCAGCATTTGGATGTAGCCAGAGCAGCAAGGCACCCAGAAGGTCATGCCATAAGTAACTCTACATGTATATCAGTGCATCATTTGCCAGGGTACCAAGAGGATAACTGACTTGATCGGAAGCGCAAGGTTACCTGCGAAACCAATGCTGAAAGGCTGCTTCAAACTGCCGAGCTAAAAAATGATAAGCGCATCCTAACACAGATTGGAACAAGGGATCATGTATGCCTGGAGGTACGATACCATGCATCTTGTTATAAGGTGTATGTGAAGTGTGTGGCTGTATTAGGAGAAATCTCTGAGGGTACTTACTGTATCAATTGACAGATTCTGTGCAGAGGTATTTCAGAAAAGGACAACTGATGGTGGTGAAGGTATGAAAATTAATTCGTTGACAACAGTTTTCATCAAATACTCTTCCGACATTGACCACATCAACATCAGTGATTGTCGAAACTTCCAGTTGAAAGTGCACAGGTACCCACATTTGCAGTTCACTTCAACCCAGTCTTGTGCTGGTGAACTGGTTCTAATGCCATCTATGTCTGAAAAAGTGGGAGTTAGCATTTATGCTAACAATACTGATTCAAGCTCTTCAGAGTGTGAGTCTGAGTGCAAAGATCCCACTCCTCACAGAATGACATAACATGAGGTACTTGCTCAGCTTTATCGCTGTGTTTTGCACATCACGAGCAGTATGAGTGCTATTCGGGAGTTGACTGACTAGCCCCCAACTGCAGCTAGTCTGACTTCAGACAATTGTTTGAATATGATCCCAGTGGAATTTCTAAATTTCCTGGCATGGTGCACTGGTGCAGCAGAGGACTTCTCAACAGAGAAAGTTGCTCTGGAAAATGACAGCATGAATAAGGCCATTTCCATTGCCCATGACATAATCAGTTTTTCATTCCTTGGAAGGAAGCTCATGCCAAAACATGTTGTACTTGGTATGACAATACACCATCTTAGTGGTTCGGCCAAGATCCAGCATTTGTTAAATAGATTCAGCCATTGTGTTGCTCATTCACTGATGCTCAAGCATGATACAGCACTTGCCACACAACAACTCCAAAAGAGTCACGAAATTTTTCAAAGCATGTCTTTACCATGCTGGTAAATGACGACTTCAGTGAAGAAATATTATGTGTTTTCTCAACATGAATTCCACATCCAGCTACCACTTATTTTTTAAGTACACACATACCGGGTATGACTTAACACCTACTGGGTAAGTGTAAATCTGATAATAATCATGGAATTGGAGTCATCTGAAGGTGTATAGGTGGAAAGACTACAACAATGTAAATATTGCTTGCTACGGTGCCTTCCACTGTGCAAAGATGGAGACCCGTTTGCCACCAAACAAAGACAGTTTGCATCTTCAATTATGCGTGCAAATTACCAGACACAAATTCGCAAGTCTTGTATGAAGCACAAACATCTGTCCACCATCACCACACCTCCACAGTTGGAATCTCAAGGATGACCATCTGCTTATCAATTGGTCTAGGATTCCCATTGCCCCTGCACCAGTCTTGGGCTTTGTATATTGCAGCTGTAAGAAGGGTCAGTGTAATTCTAAATACTGCTCCTGCAAGAAAGCACTTGTCTACTATACAGGATTGTGTCAATGCTGTAAATGCACCAATAATCACATGGAGACAGAGAGTGACTACAGTGACTGAGGTGAAGATGATGATATAGACTCGGAATAGAGTATTTTCCATTGCAGTAAGTTGAGCAAGACAACCAAGAAGCTGATCAGTCGGGTGTTACAGTAGTTCTCAAATTTGGAATTCTTCAGGCCTGCACTGTGCCATAGTACTGGATCTGCACTTACATGTATGTGTGATACCAGGTACATGTAATGGGAAATAATTTGACTGCTATCACTTGCTAGCGCATTGAAATTTGTGCAAGTTCTCCTTTCTAATTCACTGGAATTTTGGAATGTAAATTAACTTTCACTAAATTAAGAAATCCTTCATTAAAAGATCAGCTTGTTACAGTGGTTCTAGTTAAAAATGGATTGTTTGCTTGATTACTTTTTTATGTTAGTTTTTGAGGCAATTTAGGAACTGGTTAAAGTTAAACCTGTCCAGAACTAGGAAATTAAAAGGGTCATCACTTTCATCAATCCAGTAAGTGTAGGTCCAAATTATAAGTTTAAATTTTGAAAATATAGTGTCTCTCACACACAAGACGGACTGAGAATTAACCACTTTGCGCCAGGTGGCTGTCATCAATGTTAATGATGCTGGGAGGGGATAATTATTATTTTTTCTGTTTTCAAAATTCTTTAAAAATTCTTATCTTCATTTACTGGACACTTAGACCCACACAAAGGACTGTCTGGGGCCTACTCTAATCTGACAGATAACATCTATTGATGCTGGAATATTTCAGCCAGGCCTGGTGCCTTGTAAAAAGAGCCCAGGTTTGCGGTGTTACATAATTTTCTTACAATTTTCCAGAACTGTAAGGTTTTATACAAACCTTACAGCTAGCAAAGTACAAGTCCAAGTAACAATGACTCTACCAATTGCCGTTTTGAGGAGAATCAGTTAATGGTACACAAGGCCTGTGGAAGATTCTAGGAGTTCACCATCACCGACCATGTTCAACTGATAAAAGAGGCAATTTGTTGAGTCCAAGTTACTCGAATTAGTGATACATGTATACTCACTCACTACGCTGTTGATCTTCCATGGTAAGGATTACTTAGAAAACTCTAAGTCACTACTCTGTGTGACTTAGAAATGGTTGTTTCCAGTGAGAAAGTCACATTTCTTCACAATTTATAATTCAAAATTAGAAAAAGATAAAACAGGGTCAGCGATATAAAGAGAGGGTTGCCTTTGATTGGGGGGAGGCTTACTGGTTTTTCAAGATTAAATGACCAAAAACTGGGCGCCCTAAATACACAATCCCCAGAATGGAACTATTACGTACAATCTTTGAAAGTACACAAACTTAACATTTTGAACATGCAATTTCTAGATTTTGCGCAACCGCAGATATTGTCTTCAAAATTGCACACAGCGATAAATATTGTATGGATATATAGACCACAGGCAACAGTTGTATGTAAGACTGACATCAACGACACATCTTGCATGAATTGTCAAGTCTATTTCATCAGCCAGCCTCAAGAAATTTCACCAGTCAAGTATTTTGATGAATATTGCCACTCAAGACTTCAAAAGAAATTGAAATCCCTGCGCCTTGCCGCTGGCCAGGCCACGTCGAACCTTAACCATTATGACTCCCTTTAATAAAATCGCACAGTTCAAGGCACAAAAATTGTACACATTCAAAGACTGCGCTTAACATTATCTGCCCAGATTTGATATGCACAAACTAATAATAATTGCGAAGAAAAACCGCACAAGCTGCGCAAATTCAAAAATTTGTGCACTGTCAAAGATTGCACTGAACGGCACCACTTCAATCAAGGAAGCCCAATCATTGGTGGGCTAAACACATGCCCTGTCTGTTAAACACACCAGCATCAATGGAGCGACAGTCAACTGGTGGAAGCCAGAAATTGGAAAGCAAAAATCTCATTTTTTTTAAATACTCCATATCATGCTCTGAAACTGTTGTTATCCCTTTTTTAGTAGATGCAAATATGCTGACAAGGGGAAAATCTAATTTAATAGCTCTTTCTTACGGCTGTGAACCATTTCACCACAAAAATTCGATTCCAAAAACCAAAGCGTTACGACGCCATGTAAACCTTGTCTCCCACGTACAAGTCACATGGAGTAAGGCCTATCTCAGAGTTAAAGGAATTAAGAAATGAATTTTTCTAAGAATCACTTTTTGTGTATCTCTGTACTCTTCTTCCATGTCTGAAGACTGTTTAACATCTTTTTTGAGTTACAAGAACTAAACGTAGCACTTTTTCAAACATTAAAAATCGACCAAGCATTTTTGCTTTGATGTAAATCCAAGGAAACATGGTTCAGGTTGCATATTTTCACGTTTAAATTGTGAATCCCAAATTTGCTATCTTAGACATTTCTTTGAAAAGGATTTTTGCTGAATTATTGCCATATACTTACACTGCAGTAAATTGCCCAAGAAAATAAAATATGCCATAGCTGTGGTTAAAAAAATCTACAAATTTTCTGTGCACAAATCAGTGCAACATTGAGATTGTTTGCCTTAGATGACACCATAGTTCTGCTCATATCATAAACATGCAAATATGCATTAACACAAAAACAAAAAAGCATCAAAATATGGGTTAATATTGCAAAACAACCATTTAAAATGAGGTAAATTGATACCCAAAGATGCAATTCCAAGGGTTTTTAGTAAAATTTATCACAATATTTCTTTTTCCTGGTTCCTTTAAGCATGGAGGTAGGTTCACTACCATTCCATTAGCACCCTAGCTGTTCCTGTAATAAGGAAACAAAGTCCATTTTTTCTAACTAATTAACATTTCTATCTTAAGGAACCACTACTCAATCTTGATGGGCCTAGTTTAGGTAAATTTTGACAACATTTAAGCAAGAAATCTTCAATTTTCTAACCTGAGTTTGGCAAAGGACAACGCCATTTTGTTTTTCGTCAGGCTACCGACTCGGGCTTTTGGGATTCACCAAAACAAATCTCCAACCAGGTCAAGGCACCAGACTACATTCGCATTTTGTCTTTCACAGTTGCCTTCGGGACGGTCAGCGTATTTTTTTTTTTACACTACAGCCTAGCCATTTCTGGCGAAACATGCAGTACGCGCGACTGGAGACTAAGTCTAAAACGCCAATTCGCGGGTTATTTGGAATAGTCTGTGATGGCTGCTGACTATGGTGCTAGCTGTAACGTTGTACGTGTACAGTACATACAACGTACTTACACATGAGTAGTAAGTGGAAGCGGGTTCTGGCACAGCCCCCTTTACACTTTCATTCTCACGCTTCACCGCCCCCACCACAGGCCCATCACCGCCCCCACAGGCCCATCACCCCAGCGCCGGGACTTCCCACTTTACCCACCTTGACCTTTGACCCCGGCGCTTTTACCACTTACACACGTCAGGGTGCAGACCACGAATTCAAGTGAGAATTTCTGTCCAGCTCATTAGCATTAAAAGTGCCCCCACCCACCATATCTTTTGAAAAAGGAGATTGTTTGGCCCCCAAAATGATGAGATTGTGTAAATCGTTGCCCTGGGTCTTTGAACTTTCATATGAGAGCAGAATGGCTAAAAACTACGGTTGAAAAATGGTCCTAAGTGCTCGAGAAAGTTG